TAATAATTAACAATAATTACTTTGAACTAAAACAAACTGGTCATAGCTCAGGCCTGTAACCCCCGCACTCAGAAGGTGGGAGCAGGATAGGATCGAGTTTGAGGACAGTCTGGGTTACCGAGCGAGTGGCAGACCAACTAGAGCTACATACTAAGACACGGCTGCCCCGCCCCAAAAAACAACAAAGAGTTCCAAGGTAAGTTACCTCCTCCACTGGCCTTGCTTGAAACATCCCAATTCAAAGGAATTTCCCCAAACATATTCTAAGAAGTGCCTCCCCAGATTTAACTGCTTCTTAACACACACCTCCTTAAATCCTTGTAAACTGCCAATGTTACTGTTTTCCTAACTCAAGTTTGCACCTTTCAGGCAAACGATCTGGCCTAAGGCATCTTATCTCCCAGTCCTTCCCGCTGCTCAGGATAAGCACTCAACACTCATCAGATGAAGACGTCAAGGCGTTACAGATTAATTCCCAGCATGCAAATCTTCAGGATTCCCAGTGTAGCGGGAATGCTGAAGTCTGGGAAGTACTGGGAAGTCTTCTCCCAGTCAGACTGTGAGTACAACCTTCTCATTGCCGAAGATTCCCAGTGGGCCGGTTTTTTCTCGTTCCACAATTTCATTGGTTAACATTTCAAGTTTGTAGGCTGTGTGTGGTTCAGTGGTGAAGAGCACTGGCTACTCTTACAGAGGACCTAGGTTCCATTCCCAGTGCCCACCTGCGGCTCATAATCCTCTGTAACTCTCATTCTAGGAGATCTGAAGGCACTAAACATACACGGTACACAGACATACACTCAGGCAAAACGGCCATACACAAACAAACACAACCCTGCAATTATGTTATTTATTATTAGGGTCAACTACATGTGCGTGCACCCGCGTATGTGGCTGGATGTGTGCACCAGACCCCTTCTCCTTGAGCAGCCCTTGAAATGAGATCAATGGAGAGTGCGGTTAGGCCATAGGTTTCTAAAATTGTCACGAAGCAACTCACATACTCCCTGCCAGATCCACCTACCTAAGGAAAAGACTGGCAGGATTCAAGTCCCGCCTCGGAGTTTGAAACCAAATGTCACCCCAGCAATCCAAGTGCCAAGATTTCGGTAACACAGGCAGGGCACTCCCAAAAGCTCACTCTATGCGAAAAGCCCTCATTAAACTCAAGAGTTATATTTAGCAAAAAATGGAACAGAAGTTATATTTAGATGAAATGACTTAAAAGAATTTTACCAAAAACAGCATGTTTTGACTGATCTGAAAAAAAAAAAAAAAAAGGATTTTAGGGTGGCTAGATGGCTCAGTGGATAAAAGTGTCAGCCACCAAGCCAAGTGGCCTGGGTTTGACCCCCAGGACCCACTTGGTAGGAGAGGGTTGACTCCCACATAATCCTGACATGGTGCATGTATGTGCCTCCACCCCCAAAAAAGTAATAAAGTGTAACAAAGTATGAATCATTTTTTTAAAAAATAGAGAAAAGGTTTTCCTTGGTTGTTACAGAAATTTCCCCCAAACAGCCTCCTTCTGGTTAGGGAGGAGCGGGAAGGTGTCCGCAGTCCTAGGGAAGCATGCTCTAGAGTACTTACAGGGCAGCACACACAGACGTGAACACGATGTGGGCTTCAGGACGGTGACTCCTAGACGCACGCGCGGAGCCCAGCACCTGTCCCTAGACATGGCCCTTTCTGAGCACTCACGCTGTGGTCACAAAGTGCTCTGTCAGTATGAAACTGTCTTGCAGAACCACATCCAGTACCGCCCACTTGGCTCTTCTTTACGATATTTTTTGACATCCACTTTCCTGTGTTCATCAGTTTTTGTTTTGGGCACAGACTCCTCCTAGGTAGCCCAGCCTGTCCTCAGACTTGCAGTGACAAGTGCCACCATGCTTGGCTTAATTTACATTTTCTTAGAAAAATGCACATCACCTAAGTGGTCTTGTCTTATAAACCCGAAAAGCCTCCTCTGGCATGAAGGTACAGTTAGGCGTGGTGGCATAAGCCTGTGATGTCATCAAGAGGATCAACGCAGTTGAGGGCCAACCTGGTCTGTATAGCAAGTTCTAGGTGAGACCTATGACCTCTTTCCAAGTACTAGGAACAGTACAGAATGTGGCAGTTCCTCCCTTCTCCACAGCAGCAGGTTCCCCAGGGGCTTGAAATAGAAGTACACCCACCTGTGGTGACACACCTGGAAACCTAGCACCCAAGAGGCTAACATAGGAGGGGCCCAGTGCAAGGCCAGGCTAGACATACAATGAGACCCTGTCTCAAAACTTGCCCCTTAGCCCCTCAAGAGTCTCAGGAAGAGACCATCTCCCAGCGCCCCAACCAAGCCAGAGTGGAAAGCAGAGATGACCCCTGGAGAAAGACAGCCTGACTACAGGACTGGCAAGTTCTCGCTGTCCAGCCAAAGTTGCCGGAGGATGAGGGCTTAGGCTTCCTGTCCACAACGCCTAAGAGCCAGAGATAACTCAAGAACACCGCAGCCAGTCTCCACTTTGACTTCTGGTTCGTTTATTTCCAGAAAATTAGAACAGCAGGGAGATGGGATCTCCCACTTCTATACTAGGCCTTAAAACATTAAGGCTTACAGTTGCACAGTTTAGAGGAGAAACAAGACCTAGGAAGCAAGACAGATGGAATCATGTATTCCAAGAATCTTCTTCCAACCTCCCAGCTCCTGCATTATCCCTCAATTGCCTACTTCACTGGGAAACAGCAGAGATCCAATTTTGCATCCCATGAAAATCATATTAATTATGTTGATATGACCACCAATAAAATAATAATAATTTCAGCCATATAATCCAAACAAGAGTTTAACTGTATCCTAACCTGCTTTGCTCACTGGCCATGATGCTCCAGGAGAGTCAAACGAGAAGGACTGTTTCCTAGTATAGCACATCAGTGAACTTTGCAACTGAGTAGGGAGGAACACCAAAACACCGAGGGAGCTGAACTCACTCTGTTAGGCCAATTTATCAGGGAGATAAGATACAGACATGAGGGTGAGATGGGAATCAAATTCCCCAGGCCAGCGGGCTAGGGGATGGGTGTGGAGAGCCAGTGAGATGGCTCTGCGGGTAAAGACCTGGCCAGCCGGTGATGGCCTGAGCTGGATCGGGAACTCTCGTGGCAGGAGAGAACCCAGCTGACCACCAAAGGTTGTCCTCTGACCTCCATATAGGTACCCGGGAGTGCACCTCAGATGCACCCAAGTACACACACACAAACACAGAAAATAAATAAATGTAAAAATGAAAAGCGAGGAGTGTGGGGAGGAAATCTCCGCCTAGAGGAGAAATAGTCATGTTGGGATGTTTCTGCTGAACTTTAACTTCCGAAGCCTTGGCTCAGAGCTGACGTATGGGCATTAGTGGCTCCTAATGATAAAGCAGGAAAAAAAAAATAGGACTAAAGTGTCTCAATTTACACACACTGTGATACGGGTGTGTGATAAGGGGTATGGGAGCTCCCCGTACCTGAAGGCAGGAGGAGGAAAGCTGGAGTGTGCTGGGGGCTGGGGGGGGGGGGTCCCAACATTTGCACATACTTCACCTTGAAGAAGAAACAGCAAGGGCCTAGGTCAATATACACTTTTCAAAAGGACTTCTTGGAGTGCCCTGATGGGTAGCTATGGGGGTCTTCCTCCATCCCAGAGCAGAAGCAAGAGATGTGTGTGGTTCTATGTCCGTCTTCATCCATCAGAACCTCCCCCACTCCCAACCAGTGAAAACACACACACACACACACACACACACACACACACACACACACACACA